TCGACCCTCTGGCAGTGCACAGTTTAAATATTGTTGGATCGGGCCGTACGACCTCGGCATGAGTTCCGCATGCTTGTATTGCTTGCCTTGATATTTGTTGATACTAATATCTGCTCTCCCCGACTTGAGATAATTGTTAATTAATGGATTAGAAATCCGGAGACTTTAAATAAAAAGAAACTTTCACCTGTTTAGTGACGCATTTAAATTTTACTGTTGTTTTTAATAAATCCGTGAGTCGTCGCATTAATAATATTATTACTGGACCTTTAGTAAGTGTCGAAGTTGCCATCTTGTCTCTACTTCTTCGCGATTAGGCAGGATACTTACTGAGTACACGTTGTTTTTGTACTCATATTACACTTCTGTGCATTTTTATTGCACAGGCACATGCGCCACTAATGGCTTAGCAGGCGTAGCAGCATGGTTGACACGGAGACTAGGTGAGCTGTATTTCCTCGAGGCGACCCGCAGCTAGTATAGTCTCTCTCAAGATTCTATTTATTTTATGTCAAATTGTATTCCGGACAGCTGTTGTACTTTATTCGATTTTTCTTAGAAATTGCTCATGCACTTGTGACACCGGGTTCTGGGACGGCTATGAAGTATTTTGTATTAATTATTTTATTAAATAAATTTAAAGTGTAGACCCCTTCACATTCCTTCTATTCTCCTCTACATATATATTGTTTTCTATCATATAATATTTTAATTATTTTTTACAATTCATGTTGTATCTATATTATAAACATTATCATATTATTTTTCTAATTCTTTTGAAAATATGCCAAAGTTTAAATGAAGAAGTTCTTTTATTATTTTCCATAAATCTACACTTTTAGTAATTATTATTTAGTATTATGTGCAATAAGTAATTAATTTTTTTCCTTTGGTTTTCGTATAGAGTTTTGACTTTAATTTTTTTATAACTTAACTACATGACAATTTTAATTACATCTTTATATTGTTAATTTCTTGCTTGCGGTTACTTCATTGTAAATATTTTAAATTTTAGGTTTATAAATTATGTTTTCAATTGCGTGATATTATCCATATAATATGTTTTTTCTCGTAATAATTTAAAAAGTTTTTATATATTAAATTTAAATGTCTTATCCTTCTATACATCTACAATTATATTATTTGCTTAAAAAAATCTCTATTTTTTGTTCTTTGTCTATTGTTACTTTGTTACCCGTTACTTAATATGGTTACATTATTACTTAACTTTTTATTAGCTTGTCACCTACTTTATATCCCTATCTGCTACTTCTATTATAATATACTATAATGAATATGATTTTTCTTTCTCTTAAAATAAT